TACCTTATGGACTTTATCTCACATAAGTCCATTATCCTTAGGTCTTCATAGGGTGATTGAATCCAAGGATCATTTAGGCATAAATGTTGGGCCCAGACCAAGCCCATGTTGATTAGCTCAAGGGTTCACTGCCCCAAGCAGTGAATTCGGCCCAATCTCTTTCAAAGGTGGGGCTGAACCCTTGTGGACTTGTGTGAGACTTTTGTGGGGTTCCACGCCATACAATACCAGGCCCAAAGTGGCTATGCAACACTTAGGGACATGAGCCTTTAAGGGGAATGGGCCTAACGCCCATTACTAATATGATTAGTTAAGCTGTCACATGGCAATTAACTAGGTTTGGATCTAGGTGGGGCTGAAACCTTGTGGACTTGTGTGAGACCTTTGTGGGGTTCCACGCCATACAATACCAGGCCCAAAGTGGCCATGCAACACTTAGGGACGTGAGCCTTTAAGGGGAATGGGCCTAACGCCCATTACTAATATGATTAGTTAAGCTATCACATGGCAATTAACTAGGTTTGGATCTAGGTATGGAGCATCTATCCTCTCAAGAGGATAATGTTTATCAAGAAGAAAGGTTCTTATCCAAATCAAATTTGAATCATCTCCTAATTAGATTATGAGTCTTACTCCATAAAAAGATAAAGAGAGAAGAGGGTGAACTAGTCTTGAATTTTGCACATTCTTGATCTCTCTTCTTCTCTCTTGTCTCTCAAGAAACCCTAATCACGACCTAGGCTTTTCAAGAACTGATTTTTATCAGTTTTTCTTCTAGATTTTGCAAGAAAAACGTTGAAGAACATCAGGCTCACTCACCCAATTCGATCCAAGCAAGTAGGATAGCAGTTTTGCTAAAAACAGTGTTGCTGAACCGACTCCATCTACACTATGCCATTTTCATTGGAGGCTGATTTTGGGACTGATATTGGGAGTGAACTTCCACCTTGGGAGCTACGATTTTTGGTCTCCATATCAGGTATGATCTCCCTTCAATTTGGTTTCAAATCTGGTCCGGTTCAATGCAAGATCGATCCTAAAAATTTAGCTTTCAAATTCACTAGGAAATCGATTTCCGAAAGGGTTAGAAAAATTTTGAAATTTCGCCCAACCATCTTGCATGGTTCGGCCATCCATATGATGGATTCTAAACCCTTCCAACAATTAATAAGTGAACCTTTCACCATTAGCCTTTACAAAGGATACACCAGTTGGGAGATAAGCACAAGTTGGATCTTTTTCTTTGAAGTAAGTCACAAGTGTTACACCTTCCCAAGAAGGCTTTCCAACAAATAAGCCCAATCCTTGGAGGAATGAGTTTACCCCAAATTTCCAATACTGGAAGGTTAGCCCCAAGCTATCAGAAGGTCCCACTAGGCTTTGCAAAAAGCAGCACATGAAAACACACCAAAGGAAGTCAAGGTCCATATCCTACTATCCCTCCTCCCCGGTTCCAAAATGACCCCTCCCAAGATCTGAATTAGAGCTGAAACATTATGGATTTCAGAATCCCTAATACCCCTTCTTAAGTCCCAATCGAATCTAGAACCTAAGTCTAAGGTAACCAAAAAAGTAACCACCGGCTCATCTTTAAATAAGTAAAGGGAATACAATGGGGGGGAATTGTTCTTTCAAGCACACATCCCCCACCCACTTATGCTCCCAAAGTTTCACCCAATTACCAAAGCAAAGATCATACCTGATAAAAGGCAAGAAGGAAGGAAGAATAGCATGAATAGATTTTCATGGAGAAGCTCGTGTAGCCCTAACTAAAACTCCAGTGTCCCACCCATCAGCCATTTTCCCACGAATACTTACAATCACCTTAGCCTCATTCCTCTTTTCAATACTCCCTATGCCTACCCCACCCACATTCTTACCTTTAGTGACCACTTCCATCCAACTCTATGATCTCTTTTTCATCCCCTAGTTCCCATAAAAGGTCTCTCATCAACTTCTCCAATCCTCTACCTACTCCTTCTAGGACCCTAAAAACATATAGGAAATACATAGGCAATTTAGTTAAGGTAGACTTAATCAATGTGATCCGACCCCCCAAAGACATAATTTTTCTTCCATGAAGCTAACCTCTTAGTGAATCTACCCAATGGGTTCCAAAAGTTGTTATTTATCAAATTATCTCCCCCAGTGGTAATCCCAAGTAGCTCAGAGGCCAGTCAAAGATCACACATCCCAAAATTAACGCCCTTTCTACCACCTCCCTCTCATCCATATTAATCCCCACCACACAACTTTTGCCAAAATTAACTCTTAGATTTGACATTTTTTCAAAGAGTTGAATCACCAATTTCAAGTCCCTTACCTAGCTAATCTCCTAACCCTTACAAAACAATATGGTATCATCAACAACCCATAGATGGGTGATTGGTACCCCTTACCTACCCACACCCTCCAACCCCTCACCAAGTTTCTAGAATTTGCCCTTGTTATTAATCTGTCCAGGACTTCAGCAATTAAGGTGAACAAGAAAGGAGAAAGGGGATCCCCTTGAAGAGGGGTCTACCACTACACCATTAACCAGAATAGAGTTTATAGTTAGACGATGAGAATAGGCTTGGGAAAGCAAATTAAAGAGGGGTTTCAGCCAACCAAAGGTCTTCCCAAAACAATACTTGGGTCCCACATCCCACAACAAGTCTAATGAAGTTAATGGAAGTTGGGTATACTACCTGTATTAATTTCCAAGGAGAAAGTACCTTTGAGGAAGAGGTTGATTTTGCATCTCATATTCCCATCCACTATTTGTTGTCCTGTGAATGCTTGCAATTACCTTAGGTTTCCTATTCCAAGTCCATCCTACTCTTCGGATTTGCTAACTTGCTCCCACTTCACCAAATGGTCTCTCTTTTCACCCCTTGGTTCCCAAAGGAAATCTCTCATGATCTTCTCTAGCTAACTCGCTACTCTAGCTGGTATTCTGAAAGTAGAGGTAATAGATGGATAGGTTAGCTAAAGTTTCCCTGGTCAAAGTTATCCTTCCCCCCAGTTAAATGTAATTCCTTTTTCATAATGCTAGTCTTTTAGTAAATCTCTCTACTAACGTTTCAAAAAATCCTTTGACCTTGGGTTTCCCCTAACAGAAGACCAAGATAGTCCAAGGGCTAGTTCCTCACCTTACACCCCAGAATCTTTGCCAAACTTCTTAATTTTTCCTTCTCCATATTTATCCCTACTACACAACTCTCTCCCAGATTCACCCTCAGATTGGATATAGACTCAAAAGTTGTTATGAGTTCCTTTAAATTCATTAAATAATTTTGATTACCTCCTTCACATAGAAAAATTATGTCACCTACAAACTGCAAATGAGTGACTGTCACCTCATTTCTGCCTACTCTCCAACCTCTAAGTAACCTATCTTGATCAGCTTTAACTATCATCTTGCTTAGGGCATCTGCTACTAGGGTAAAAAGGAAAGGGGATAATAAGGGATCTCCCTATCTTAATCCTCGTTTAGCTGGAAAGAAATCTTTGGCTGGAAAGAAACCTATCTTGATCAACTTTAACTATCATCTTGCTTAGGACATCTGCTACTAAGGTGAAAAGGAAAGGGAATAAGGGGTTTCCCTGTCATAATCCTCATTTATGAAGGGTGTCATGTGACGCATGGGTGTCTCATGTGACAAGCCACTTATGTTATATTATTATAACCAGGCATTTATGAAGGGTCTCATGTGACGGATGGGTGTCTCATGTGACGAGCCACTTATGTCACATTATTATAACCAGGAAGCTATTAACATTGCTCACAACCCGGTTCAGCATGATAGAACTAAGCACATTGAGGTAGACAAGCACTTTATACAGGCGAGAGTGGCTTCAAGAGAGGTGTGCCTTCCTTTCATTGTATTAGAAGAGAAGCTATCAGATTTTCTGACTAAGGGAGTTACAAAAGCAAAGCTTCAACATTATGTAAGCAAGCTAGGATTGATAGACATCTATGCTCAACTTGAGGGGGAGTGTAGTGAGAATGGGCTGGATGGGCCTTAGTGTCTTTATTTCTTTTAAGTTATGTTTTAAGTTTATGTTCTTTCAGTTATGGGCCTCTTTTGCTTTGTTTTTTTATTTCTTTAGTGCTGGCCACCCCATTAAGGGCATCCCGGGAATTGTACTCAGTCTAGAATTAAGAGAAAAAAAGATATCTTGGGGGGCTAGAGAGACTTAAATTTCATGTCCCTTCGGCTTCTCCCACATGCCAGTTAGACTTAAATCTCTCTTCCCAACATCACCATCTATCAAAGTCTGAACCACCAGCCTACCCCTCGCCGCTTTAATTGTTATGTGTAACAAGAAAGAAGAAGATACTCATCACCTTTTCATTCATTGTAGAGTTGATTATTACAATTTGAGCATTCTTCCTTGACTCATTTTGGAAGCCAATATACAAGGCTGTTCAGCCTCGAGAGATGAATTTGTTCTAGCTATTGTTTTCTGAAAAAAAAAAAAAAAAAAAAAGATTTGCATACCACTCAATTTGATGCAAGTTGGAGTATTTGGAAGAAAAGATTAGGAGCATTCTTGAAGGGAAAAAGAAATACAATAGAAGACTATGTATTGGCTTTGTTCTCTTATTCTTGACGGATTGGTGTCATATCTGGAATTTGAGGACATTGGAAAAGATGCCTCTGAATAAACGTTTAGGAATATCCTTGATATTTGTGATGGATGACTAATCCTGTGATGTAATCCTTTTTATTATATTCCTCATTGTAATGCTGGAGTGTAACAAAAACAGTCCATTGTACTTTTCACTTCTCTAATAAAATTTTCTATTACTGAAAAAAAAAAAAGTTGTAATGTACAGGGAAAACCAAATTATTATGTGTGCCAAGACATGAGGCCATAGGCAAGAGCCAAAAATTTATGGCAGATAGCATTAAGACAAAACCCTACCAAATATCTTATGAGTTAACACAGTACAAAAGACACTCTGCAGGGAAACAGTAAAACAAGAAAAGAAGATAAGTAGGATTACTTACACTAGGCGTTCTTGACATGCATTCTGCAGTAACATATCCTACTGCACATAATGCACCATGATAACTTTCAAACCTGGAAATTTTTTTAAGTTAAAACCAAATATTAGAAGCATAGTTTGTATAAATGTGTATGTAATCTAGTAGAAACTACCAAAAGTATGCAGAAACAGAACCCCATTTCTAACCTCAGCTTATTTCCACCAATAGAAGAAAGAAGTTCAGAAATAATATCAGATGCTGCAGATGTAGAAAGAGCAGAGCAAGCTATTCCAAGTAGACGGGCTGCAGATTCACGTGTATCAGAATCCAAGTGACTCAGAAGTTGTTTCAACCAAAAAATTTTCACTGCATAACGAGAAGCCATCACCTGCAGAAGAGGCACCAAGGAGCAAAGGATCAAAAAATAAATACAACATGAAGAATAAAGTTTAAAAAAAATTAAAGAAATACAAAATAAGTAGCAAATTAACCTTTGGCACATAAGATCCAATATCAATCAATCCCTTGGAGGCAGTAGCATGCAGCTCAGCAGAGCCTTCATATGCCATAGCGTGTTCTAGCACTGAACACAGCAATTCTACTGAAAACTGCCACTCAGATGTTGCGCTTGTAGAATTATCTTGCTCCAAGCTTGCCTCAAAACACATCAACAAAAACTTGATCATAGAGACATACATCTTTGAAGGAAAAAGAAGTTTTTCTTCCCTCATTTCACTGGACTGTAACAATTCAGGCTTCTGCTTGCAAATATAAGCTAGCATGTCTTTAAGCTTAGGATACTTAAGGTCAGAATTCTTGCTTATGTTTTCATGTTGATCCTTCATGGGAAAAAGACCTTCAAGTGCCATTTCCCTGCAAAGAATAAGGTTAATGTATGTTTCACAGAACACAAAACATGTATGCAAGCAAGCATGCAGACACGCATATACAGAGAGAGAGACAGAGAAATAATGCAGCATTCCCAACTAAGATTACCTCATAAAAGTTAAATTTGTATAAAACAGGGAAAATAAAAACAACCAAATATTGAGAAAAGATTAGGTTTCAAGTGAACCAACTTGTAAGCTCTACATGTTTACCACAAGGGTGTAGATATCAGTTGGCTTCCAAATCTAGCAAGTCTGTATACTGTATCCTATAAAAATCGCTCCCTTTGACCAATAGTTCGAAAGACTCAATCATCTCCTCGTTAATGGTTTGGGATCAACATCGAATGAGGCCATTTAATCTCCCCAATAGCAATGAAAGATGCATCATGCAAGCAATGGCCAATGGCATACCAAAAAATTTGACCAACTGGTTGGCTGATTTAGCAAAAATTCAAAGTTCCCCAAATCTCATCTTCAAAGGAGTAGAATGAATCTATAAGGACTTTCCAAAAGGACTACATGACAATGAAGAGCCCTACATCAAACTCTCTCACCACGGGACTTGATGAATGACTCCAACAGGCAGAGACCCAACTTCCCACAATTCCAGACTCTAGATTCGCCTGTAAGAATTGCCCAACCAGACATCAGTGAAGCAAAACTAGTCCATCTGCAAAACACTCAGGCTCCACCATTAAATAAGACCTTTCCAAATCATTGAAGTGAGATAACTACCTTCTACACCTATACAAAGCACCCTTCTTTCAAATGGTTCAGTTCAAGATTCTTTAGAAGATATAGATGGTATGGTTTTGAAGGATATTGAGGTGAAATCAGAAGAATATTTTGTTTTAATTGATGATATGGTTCAAGTGGGCAAAAAAGTGGGTAAGAAATTGGAGCTGTTCTTCTTAAGTAAAGATGATAAAGCCAGGAAAGGATTCAAGGAATTAGAAGAGAAGGTTCAAATGGCTTTTCCTTGAAACCATAGTGAATGTTATTATATCATAGTAGAGGGAATAGAGATGGAAGTATTTGAGGGATTAGGGGGAGATTGGAAGGTCAAAGGGTGCAGTATGTTTGAATGTAAGGTATGCACGCTAAGATGACTGGGTTGGATACATATCAAAGGAGTCTTAGGTCTTTGATGCGGATGATTTTTTCTATATGTTGGAGTGTGTGTTTTTAGCTGTTGGGACTACAAAATTGGTAGGGGAAGGGGCAGGAATGTGTTTTATTTGTTTAATGCCTTGTTTTCCTTGGTTTTTTGTGGAATTGATGTGCTGAAGAGAAAACAGAGTAGCAATGTTTGTTTTCAATAAAAAGTCATGCCCCACTACCAAAGATTGTATGTTTATTCTTTTTCCTTTTTAATAAATTTTCTATTTACTACCAAAAAATGCACCCTTCTTCAATCAGTTCCCTTCAGATTCACAATCTCCATGGGTTGATAGTTTTTCTACTCAATTTTAATCTTTTATCATTTTATGCTTAGTTATTACAAAAACACTTTTCCCGTAAATCTTGTCGTCAATAATGAAAAACAAGAAATAAGAGAGAAAAATAGAGATCATTGCTCTAACAATATGTCAATACCACACACTAATTTTCTCTCTCTAATGACAGCTCTTTATAAGAAAACCGACAAATGGGGCTGATATTACACTTAAGTCTCTGAATATAGTTTTTCCTAAATAATTCCTTCCTTATACAGCTTACAAACTGAATATTCCAATAATCCCCCTGAAGCTATCACTAGATAGCTTGCCTAAAAGGAAGCAATATAATCTTGGTGCAATACTCCAGAATATCTCTTTAACAAGGCAACTTGAAGATTCTAGCATGGGAAAAACTAGCTCTTACACCACGCCAAGGATCCAATCAACCAGATTGCACCAACACCAACACTTCACTCTTACCCATGGCAAGAAAATTTCTTAACTAATTAAATGGTATTCATAGTGGCTCAGAACTCTTAAGAAAGACAACACAACACTCATAGAGGCCCATATCACTTACCCAAGACATGATCAATCATCAAGTCATCCTCCCTGACATTCCCAGTCATTGAAGTATACTGACAACTTAACAAAGATCAAACAATGAATATGATAATGTGAGGAGCACTCCAGTAGAGACTTCAGAATATTAAATAATGCAATGACTAAAAATAAACTACCCTTAAACAAGGCAAACCCACCCCCTTGACCAAATGCTATAGTACTGCAAGTATGTAACTAAGATTGTACGAACCACAATAAATGTTGATGCCAGAAGCACTCAAATGACTTAGAAACATGCATCACCAAGGATTTTCAACCAAATCTAGTGTTCTCAAACCCAAGAACCATTCCCCTTGTCCATTAAGGTTTATTACTAGGGCCTTGTTCGTTTACCACTATCTTACTTACCTGGGTAAATTCACTTACCCAGGTAAGTGTTTCCCAGGTAAAATTTACCCAGGTAAGTTTATTTACCCATGTTCTTTTTGTTGAAATTTACCCAGGTAAATGAAGCACTCCAACTTACCCATGTTCTTTTGTCTCACCAACTTTCCTGGGTAAGAGGCCCATATATTACACTATTGCCAACATTACCCTTTTGGCCTAAATGAATTTTTTTTGGAGGTTTTGTTTTATAAACCTGTGTAATAGGTCCATGCCATATCAAAAGGAACCCAATCAATCACAAACCAATCACTATTGCCAACATTACCCTTTTTGGAGGTTTTCTTAATACCACTAATCATAGAAAGATCTCAATTAAAAACAAACTAGAGGTTCATCCTGTCAAATCATTAAGTAGAACTTGCTATGTTAAAACAAAAAAAGAAAAAAAAAAGATAATATATGTTTTTAGGAGGCCTTTATTCGCCCTAAAAGCTTGTTAGTATTTGCCTTAAAAGCGATGGATGTTCTTCCTGAACAGGAGGTTTGTGAAAGAAGCTAATATTTGCCCTAAAAGCTTGTTAACACAAGGGTACTTTTGATTGAAACAAATCCCCCACGATGGGAAAGTAAACTTACCCACCTCTAAGGTGGGTAAGATTTTCCCAAGTAAATGGCCTTTAACTTACCCAGGGGAATCTTTATTTTTTGTGGGCCCCACACGTATTTGCAAAAGAACATGGGAAAGTTGACAACTTTCCCATTGACCAACTTTCCCACCCCAACTTAGCGGTAAACGAACGGGGCCTACATGCATGACAAATACACCAAAAGCATTAAGACTATTGGCATGTGTCAGTCCAAGCACCTTAAACTTTAGGCAGTAACATACCAGCACACTTCAACAACCATTTCTATGACTCTTACTCTAGGAAGCTCTCACTCTAGCAGCTGCTAGCCCTTTCCTTAGTGCTTCTCACTCCAGTAACAGGTAGCCCTTTTCGCAATTGCTCTCATTCTAGCAATAAGTATCCCCTTCCACAATGGCTCTCACTCGAGTAGCAAGTAACCCTTTCCCTCTAGCGGCTTTCACTTTGTTCCAGGTAGCCCTTTCCATGAAAGTAATCACTTTACTCCAAATACCCCTTTCTAATAATGACTCTCACTCTGCTCTAGGTAAACCTTTCCATAATTTCAACTTGATATGTGATCATAGGCTCTAATACTATCTGTTGTAAGTAATATGAGAAAAAAGAGGAAAGGAGACAATAAAAGAACGAAAGAAAACATTTGTCATTGTTGGTGAATCTGTAGAAAGGTGAACTTGATAATTTATAGTGTCAATGGTAGGAGTAGTGAGCTGCCATGTGTACCATGTTGGTTGTGTCTTGGTTGAGTCATGAGCCACTATGAATACCATGCTACCGTAAGAGTTTTCAAGCATATTGGATCCTTATTTATGTGGTGTTAAAGCTGGTTTCCACTATACTTAGAATTACTACTAAGGTTGTGTTTGGTTGCAATTCTAATTTATTTACACTGACGCTAAACCATGGTAGTGCAAATGATTTAGGTGCAAATTATGATTTATTTTTATTCCAAAATTTAAATTATTTTGTTTGACTGCAGTACAAATGAAGTAAAATAAGACCTGAAGTAGAATAAAGCAAAACCCAAAACAAAATTAAACCAGAATTTGCATTCTTTTTCATTTGCACTCACATGCATTTGTACTAGTGCAAATAAAATTGTACTGCAACCAAACACGCCTAAGATTCAAAATATTGACACAATACGCTTAATACAGGGTGTATCATATCCGTATCCAAAGGGGTGGGCACATGGCATGGGTGGATTGAGCACACTTGTAGAAATTCCACCCATGTCGATACTATATCAACCATATAGCAATGTATTGGTGGATATGCATAGATACAATGCACCAGTTGGTGGAATCTCCATTTTTTTTTCAGAACTTAATCATTATATTGTTTGTCCAAAGAAAATTTGCAATTATTTCTTCACTCCAAACCTGCAAGACGAAAGAGAGAAAAAAAAACATAATAATAATGAGGAGGTTATTTTATTTTATTTTTTGATAAATAATTTTATTTTATTTTATTTTTGATAAATAATAAATCACATTTCATTAAAATCAAGAGGAGATCACAGACCCTTGGGGAGGCGTGAGTTGCCGCCTCTCCAAGACATAGAACCCACAAAAATGAACTAAAAAACCTAAAGCAAAGAACACATGCTTGCTACTATAAGATTACAATTTAGCCCAAAACAGTGTATCCCTAACTGCCCCTTATTTTACCAAAGTATCCACAAGGGCATTCGCTGATCTCCCCACCCACTGTATTATAACAGTCATGTTTCTTGTCAGCCATTTATATCTCTTGAGCTCATTCTTGTAGATCAAAGCGACCTCTGAACTATTTAGCCACCCCAGTACTATCTTAGAATCCCCTTCAATCAGCAACAGCTCCACTCCCAAATCTTTTGCAAGAAGAGCTCCTTGTATGGCAGCTAACAATTCTGCTCTAACAGAATTCCCAACTCCCAAAGGGCCAGAGTAGAGAAGAATGACCTC